CTAAAAGACTCACAGAACGGCATTTTGTGGAGAAGATTCCAGCCACAGGAAAGAAGGCAAAGCCACAAAGAAGATGTGTCGTGTGCTCAAGACAAGGCAAAAGGAAGGATACTGTTTATTGGTGTAGTGATTGTGAAGCAGCGATGTGTTTTGATGAATGTTTTAAGAAATACCACACACAACTCCACTTCTAATCAACTTGCTTCCATCGTTGAGATAAAGGGCGGCCATATTATCAGGTAAGATTATAACACCATCTTTTAAGATTATTTCAGTGAAAAATTCATAATTATATCTCATATAGTTCAAAAGCTATGATAATTAATATAATTTAGACACAAAATTTAAATGGCCAACTAAAAAGTAATACCGCCGGAGGCACCACGAAAGCGATTTTTAAATCCCCACGCTCAAGGGTTAACAACCAGATTTTTGGATGTGGCAAAGTTTACTACTTTAACTCCATCATCATTACTATTCCTAGTGCTGGATCTCAAAAATGGGATTTGCATGAATTATCCCATTAAACACCTGCATGTTCCTCCCACACATCCTGCTCACCTCATAGTCACCTAACTTCACTGCACGATGCATGAAGCTCTCTCCATTCTTCTGTCACTTCCTCACCTAACCAACAAGCTCTTCTGAACTGCCATCAATTCATATTTTAGGCAAACAAATTTCAAATGATAACATAACACCTACAGAAGCTAAGATCATATAAAAATCGTAGCATTCTCATTAACTTAGTGCATGGCAAACCACAACATTAAATTCTGATGTGACATACTGCCTGAAGAATAGACTTGCTGTGTCTGCGAGACAGCATCTCAAGTGCTGTCAGACTCTGCTCTGCCACGTCCATGCACTGAATTACTTGCAGCTTCTCTAGGAACACAGGCACAGCATCCACCACCACAGCCGAAGATCGAGGAAGGGCCTCCATCATGTATGTTAGAGCTCGACACGCATGGTTCATCTGAACATAAGAATAATTCCAGTTGAATTCCATGTACAAGTATATGCTGAGAAATGAAGACAGGCACATGGAAGGTGATCAAACGTAAACTTTGTATTAATATTCCTTACTTATTTGTGGTTTACTGAACAATGCTTTCACTAACAATGCAACACTAACATGTGAAGTGAAATATAAAACAGAAAGTATCTTCCTAATTAAATCCATCAGCATTATATCTGATCACTGACATCTGGCGTAATTTTAATGGTGAGCAACTTTTGGAAAAAATTTGGTATAACCATTTCAAATTTGAAAGATAAGAATTTTCACTGTTCTGAAGGGAGGTGTTACCATTTCAAAGTGCAAGAAGATTAGTATGCATAAAATGACAACTCAGCTGTGTTTTAGAACTGCCCCACAATGCAGTGAATGTACACACATATGCACAAGCCAGTGCACCTTCACCCTCTTCATTCATTTGTAGCATGCAAAGGATGTTCTGTACCAAGAGTGAGTCGCTAGTGCAAGACAGTATGTACAGTTATGTATGAGAAAACGTAATTTCATGGTTTAGCTAATGCTCAAGCTGCCGAGTATGTTGGATTACAGTTCATTAAAATCTTCTTGGGTGATCAGCCATGTTATTCTTGAGTTTAAAACCAGTGTCTCAGAGTTCTCCTCCACCTCCACCATTGGGGTTGTCGTCACATCGACCTGATGATGGAGACAGAGATCAGCAAAACACTGATTTTTAAATCAACAATGACAAGGCTGATCACCCAAGAAAATTTCAGCATGTTTATTCGCCATAAAAGCTTCAAATCTTACATACAATTCAGTACTTTCATATCTATATGATAACCACTTCAAACAAATGAAGAAACAACTATGTAACACTGAGAGCTGGGATAATAGTTAAATGATGTGTGGGAACCACCTGCAGTGAATCGAACACTAGCCAATCACAGGCTAGCAACCAGCCAATGCTAAGCAACAGCTGGGTAAACAGCCATTGGCCATTGCTAGGCAAAGTCTACAACAATACAGACAGCGACATGTTTTCTACAGGCCGGACTCAAGGTTATATAAGAAGATATAGTGATTACCCGTGTGGAGGTGGGGTTGAATACCTCCATCGTGACCCTGCGAGTCGTCAGAGGCAACAAAAAGGGGAGTTTCAAATCTGGACAGTAAAATATGGTTATGAATCCCAAGGGACTTGGACCCGAGAAAGGCGGCTCTGGCAAGGGCCAGCAGCATATACAAAAAACAGACCCGTCTTCTCATCAGGGAGGGTACACCACAAAAACAAGATCATAACTACTGGTCATGAGCATCAGATGGGGCTCGACACCAAGACTTACTGTTTGACTGACCGTCAGTCGCAATGTGTCTTTGATTTTGAAATAGGAGAGAGGTACAGTGTGTGTATGACAATTATTACAAGCAGCAGCATTACTGTTATTAGCCGTCAGCCAGCGACCTTCAACCCTTCAAGTTTGTCTGTGTATTCTGTGCATCTACAATAAATATTTATACATGTCCAATAAGAGATTGTCTCTACATACATATGACTACCCACAGATGAATAGAAAATAATCTGAAATGGAGTAGCCGTGAACTAACTGAGCTACTATCCTGGAATTTGCCTTGAAGAACTGAGGAAAACCATGCAAAAGCCTGAGGCAGGATAGCTGACGTCCTGGTTGAGAGCTGAACTGTGTAACTCCTGAATACAAGCCAAAAGTATTACTGCTAAGCCAATGTGTTCAGTATGATGATGCTGGTGATGTCAAATCACTTATAGGACATTCTATTTCAACTAGGCAAGCTCCTTAACACATTCAGACAAAGAAATATGAATCCCGCACAATCCCCACAGCATAGCCATTATGCAAAGCTCAGTAACAGCTTTTACATGAAACTGCAAAATTAATTTTATGCTACTTCAACAATCTGTACTAAAGTATCTCCATAGTAACTAAACATGGTAGAGCCAATGGTCCTGTACTTCAACACAGAAGAAAAATGGAAACTGAAGAGTGTCAAAATGTAATGTTACAATTTGGGGCAAAGGAATGTGGTCATATGCACTGTGACATTATGTTTCAGGGTATGAGTGCGTGTACCATGTCAAAGTTGTGCTCCATGCCCAGCAAGGAGATAAGAGCTGGAACCACTTGCTTGACTGGGAACCCGGCCAGTGTGTCCTCATTTCCCATCACCAACATCTGGCACATTTCAATCACAGCCTGTAACTGCTGCCCCTCATCCCCTGTGGCTTGCAGGCCCTGTAGAAGCTGCTGTGCTTTCGAAGCTGAACAAAAGAAAAGCAACACGTCAGCACAGTTTACATTGTGGTGCAGTATAGTAAAACCCGCTCAAAACAGAACCTCAGGAGAGTTCATCACTTTTTCAAGTTGTGATAGGTTTACCTTTAATACACAGGCACACTTCTAAATAAAATAACATGGACATAAACCAGAAGACAGGGCTCAAGATACATCACAATAGCAGTTCTAAAACACTTTCCATTGATACAGCCCTTGGTATCAGTGCGAGATGTCACATGGTGATTTCAGCCTAAACCTATATTATCAGTGATATGATCCAGTTTAAACAAACTTAATTCAGTTCATGGCCAGAATAAGTTACATAGAAATAACAAAGTGCTAAATGCCAGAACATACCAAAAACTTATTAGTTTGCTGCTGCTGCTTAATGACAACCACATTTCAATTCACATTTTTGTCACAGTCACATGCATGCCATATTCAGCTTTCAGTCTGTTCCTTGCTTATATTTTGATAGAAGAAAACATTAAAAAATCCCAATTCTCAAAGGCAGGTTGTGGCAAACAGGACTAGAACTTTGTAAGTTTGTTTGGTCAGAATGGGATAAGCCTCACCAAATCTGTAACAAAATCAATCCAGCTTCAATGATTAAAAATCATTTCCTTTCCTGATTAGATTTCTGAATGTTTCAAGAAGCTTGTCTCTTCCCAGCATCACTGACATGTTCAACACGAATAGAACATAGGCTCCTTACCCAATCACCAGCTACCAAGCAATTCGGAATAATTTCTTCAATGACAGTTTTTAGAATCTCTAATAACAACACAATCACAAACTTCTGTTTCCATTGAATGTACTGATCTGAAGTAATTTCATCCAAGAGATAAAAATGTGCAAAGTTTCCATATTTATTCCCCAGAAAGCTCCAAAATAGTCACTTCTGCAACTTGCAGTAAAATACTCAACGAGTTTAGCCTTCCAAACACGTCTACAAGATATGCAAATAAATCACAAAATTCACATCTGTTAAATGGTGAAGAAGAATTGATCCATTTTCATACAGAAACATCTCACAGTATGAAGAAAGCAGTCTTCTGGGATTTGGCGCCATGTATATGTGGTGTTAACCGACGTTTCGGAGGAACGTTACCGTGTCTCACGGTGTTGTCGCTTGCAGATTTAACTATACTTTTTCTTCAACCCTGAAGATGGGGGCGATACGTTCCTCCGAAATGTCGGTTAACACCACATATACACGGCGCCAAATCCCAGAAGACTGCTTTCTTCATAGTCACCGCCGTGAAAGCCTCAAATCTTACATCTCACAGTATTTCCCCCTGCTATCCACCATACTTGTGTGTGAAACAGTAGCAGTGCAACTGGACCCAACCCCAGAGCAACACAATTTCTTTCTTCCTTTTTCCAAAAGTCCATTAAAGTATTCAGCAGCATATATTTAATCACCTGCAGGCTTTATTATTTTCCACAATTCAAAGGAATGTACCTTCCCAAACACATAGGATGTACCAAAAAGAATACGATTTCAGGCACCTGTAGTTCAGGAACAAAAATGGACATGAGGGTGCTGTTCGCAGTCTTTCATTCATCATCTGGAAGTCTTTTTATACATAAGCAGCAAAGTTCTTAAGCGCAAAACCCTTCACAGTGGGCACCATCTGTAGTTCTGCATACATCTGATTGAGCTTAGTACTAACATCACCATATCTGTCCTTGTTCCTGAGTTGCGGTTTCTGAAATCCTATCATTCCATTTGGTAGACCTTGTACAAAAGCACATACATACAAGTCACACCATTTTATGTTAAATTATTTTTTGCTTTGAATTCCATATTAAATACTACCAATACATGAGGAGCAACTGTGCAAAGGTTTTCACTCTGCTCTTCACAGGTTTCAGTTTAATCCAAGTTCCATATCAGGAAGGTTCTGCTACACCCTTTTCTCTTATGAGACATTAGAAGATCTATTCCCAACTTTATAAGAAGATACTTAAGGCATCGAGTTCATTTCTGTGTCTACTCATCCATGCCACAAGCAGTAGAAGAGGGAGCACATCTGAACAAGCAGACAACATGGTGTCAACCACTTCAATACTATCCTGTGCTCAAGTGTCTATTCACATCTTCGATAAATACTTTAAGCAGCTTTTGTAACGTGTTTCTTCAAGTGACATTTTAGTTTCATTTTGAAGTTACTGTGAAATTTTTCATGAAAAACCCTTATTACTGGTCTACCCTTTCTTACTTTCGAACTGCCAAGACTCCTTAAGCTTTTTCAATTACACCCAAGCTAACAGGGACTTCTTTTATTCAAGACCACTTCTTTACATATCCACAAAACTTGGCAGAATCCTCCTGAATATATAAATTTCTAATGAATTTACTTCTTATTTTTGCATTATTACAAACATGGACATGCTTTTGTGAACATGTTAATGAACCTGCAGTGTCACTGTCTTCTTTGATCCCTCTGATTAACCGAGTTATCACTTGATTCAGGCAATTATTATATATTTATTTATATTTGTTTCGTTTATCAATTTATAAATTTACATTTAGGCTATCTCTCTGCCTTTAACTGAACTATGATCGCGACTTCTACATAAGGTCTTACTGCCTTGTCTTGTACTGGCAATATCATGCTTTAGTGGAAATTCTGAGATTCCCAAAGTGCCAGCCTGTCACCCCCTTGACAGACTTGTGCAACCATTAGCATTTGAGTCAGAAGTTCATAAGTGACACCCTGCCCAGTGGAATTACTGCCACTGAACGTGCCTGGCAACCAGAACCAATATCACAGCAATTATAACATAGCTTGCTTAGTTTGAATGTTCCAAACAATGAAGAAACCTACATAATTTCTGTTACTCAACACATACACCTGTACTGCTTGCACCTAAGAAAATGTAAGTTGACCAGAACTGTAATTACTCAACGTCACAACCTGGACCAGTTCGCATGTGTGATGAATACTCCATACACAGCATTTTATAAAAGCTTTTAAATTTACCAAGAAATTCTACATTACAATTAAAGTGCTCTCCAGCTCTCTGGTTCCTCCAATCATACTTTACTTACCTACCCTTAATTAAATTTATGAGAATTTATCTCACTGGTTCCCAATCCTTAAAAAGGCCTTGTTACTCTGAGCATGGTTTGGTGAGAATAAACAAGGTTATGAGCAACACCTGAGGCACTGGGAAACTACAGCAGCAGAAACTGGGCACAAAGAGAATAGTTACCAACACACAATTCTGATACATCAAAGTATTTCAACTAAATCATGTGTCACAAGCTCATCCTAGAACATATTATGAGTCCTATAAGTAAAGGTATTCATCACCTTCTTCACACAATATTATTGTGACCTTGTACCAATATGTTACAACACTTACCTGCTAGTATTTAATTCCTAATTCAGTGACTGCTATATGAGGAACACACATCTTACAAACAACTTACATGAACTGGCACCCATGCTACGATGCAACAAGGTTTGCATTCTTGGACCCAAGGCTCCAAACAGATGTGGGGGTAAACCTCTGGCCTCCAGCAGGGCTTGCAGTCGGCCAACTTCACTGTCATCACTCTCACTGTCTGCCGCAGAGCTGGTCACCCCTGATGGACCAGATGCAGATCCAGCTACAAGGAGAAAAAGTAAAACTGTTGGATGTTTCACTGTTTAGGTATGTCACTTATGCAGGGAGGTCATCTGGCAGGTGTGCTGAGGCATGACCTTTGCATGACACACAATCACTGCCTCACCCATTGACTTTTCCGTGAGATAAGAGCTACATTACAGAAAGGAGTTCAGTTATGTCTTACAAGAGATACTGGAAATGCTCACCATCGGTTCATATAAATCTTCTGAATGAGGCAGAGCATATGTTCTCCCTGCATGGTGCTGCCTGATTTACATCAAACACCACTTCCCAGTAATAGTTGGTGGCTACTGTCCTTGCTGCTCCAGGGCTCAATGGGTTTTGGAAAATATCTGCTACAGCACAGTGTTACAGAGTTCCTTAATACTTAGCCTTAATGTGACGCAAACAGCACTCATTTACTGGGTAACTGATCTCCTTGCTCACACAATACAGCTGTCCTCAGGGTACATGGGATACTATGAGCTGCATGTTTTCATAGGGTTTGTCTTCCATGTGCCAATAGACTACATTTCCAAACATCACCACCATGAGAGGAGAGGTAGACAGACAGAATGCGGAGTGATGTCAGTGGGTGAAGAAGCAACAAACCATAGTTCATAACCACTTCACTGTACACTGGGTCTGTAGAAGTGGGCGCAATTGCCAAATCCTACTGAAAATGTCCACAGTGTTTTACTACCTGTCAGTTGCATGGAAAATGATAATTGTTCCTGCATAAGACACAGGGCTCATAATTCTCCTTGCACACAGGACACACCAAACACAAAACATTTACTTCGTGAAGCCGAACTTTGCGCATGTGTCCAGTCCAATAAATTCAACACTTAAGAAGAAATACAGCAACCTCGGACCAAATCTGCTATCATAAATTGACAAGCTGCCAAATGCAGAAATTACTGGATCATGTGACCACAACGCACGCACAACTGTGCTATGTAAGGACATAGCTTCAAAAATGTCCCTGCAGTTGTTGTGGTCTGTTCTGATATTCCCGTTTCTTGTACAATATACTCTACGAGGCTTAGGAGATGAACATTCAAACACGGGTCCAATACCGTCCAACTTATCTTCTGTTCATACCTCTCACACTTTTGTTTCCTGTCCACTCACACAGCAAAGACTATATATAATGTTCCTGATGATGTCTGTGTGCGGAGCTCAAACCCCGGGAAACCTGAAATCCCTCACACAGACTTACACTTCTGCACAATTTTCCATCCATGTGATCTAATAATTTCTGTAATATCTTCAGCCTATTCATGATGAAGAGTTGCACCAAAGTTAATACTCTGTTTAGATAAAACTCAATTTGAATGAATTCTGGGGTAAAATTATAGGGGACCTATGGAAGTAAAACAATTACAACAGTCTTACTTCAGGCTATAATCCACTCTTCAATGAAACCGTACACAGTCCAGACAAAATACAGAATGCTGACACCAATTAACTATCATTTTACTATACTGAGTGAGGAACACTATTCACTAGAACCTACCTGATGGTACCGTTGCATGATGGACTGCACGTTCATCTCCAGCTGCACCCACTGTACTTGCAGGGACTGGAACTCCATTGGCAGAGGCTGCTCCGGCCGGTGTCAGTGCACCACTGCTTGAGGCATCCTGCCCCTGACCACTACTTGAAGACATTCCTCCTGCTCCTCCGCTCGAAGGAACGGCCGTAGAGGTGGCCCCTGGCAGGGGAACCTTTCCAGCCTGGGACGAGCGGCGACTATCATACAAGAACAAACCATGCAAATCAGCAATATCAACATAAAAACTGGGATTCTGTTCCTACAAGTCCTACTCCTGTATGTACAAACTGTGAGAGATGAAAGCATCGTGCCCAGAACAAAAAGGATGACTACAGATTAACTTTTAATGTCATACATTTATTACACCTACCCCAACCCCACCATATGATACAACAAAAAATGTAGATGCATGAATTACCCAAAGAGATAGTTAGTTAGTTATTGGAGAGGGTGGGTTTCCCCATGCACTTAGACCAGTATTGGTCCATTGTGCTTCCCTCTATGATATTCTACCAGTCTCTATATCCTACCGATATTGGTGCGTACCATCAGTCCCGACCGAGCCAGAGAGTTTGGCCTCTACTGGCTTGGCGGTATCTATAATGCTTCCCCCATCCATCAGAGGCGTTACAGACTACTGTTGGGCGGGAAATGTCCTTGAATTTAGCTCAGTGACCTCCTTTGGAGATATGAGGTTCTTTTACGTGTCGTAAAGCTATGACACGGGACCCACAGCTTAAAGTCCCTCCCCGAGGACTTGTTCCCTGAATATTTCTGCCCTTAAAAATTCCACAACCTCCGCCAGGTTTGAACCTGCGTACCAAGAGTCATGAGGTGGGAACGTTACCTCTAGACTACAGAGGCCGCTACCCAAAGAGATAAGTATGAGGCATAGCCATAAAATAAGTTCTGTTTGCAAATATTGCTGCTGCTGCACTGTGGTCACTATGATGTGCGTGCATGCAAAGTTTGTTGGTCCTTTTGGGAGGCAAGGACGCCATTTGCAGACAATCAAACCATGTTTATGCATCGTCCTGTGCGTTTACAATGTTCAAGAAAATCAAGAAGCCTGCCGCCCATGAAATGTTGCCTTTAATCCATTTCTTGAATGCAAGAAACCAGCTGACACTCATCAACTTTCTAAGGTGTATGGAGAACATGCCACAATTCAATGGTAAGGAGATAGGTGAGACACTTTAATGATCTGCAGAGCGGCCGACTGTCTGTGGTTAATGAAGATTTGGTGTGTGCAGATTCAAAAGAACAGACAAAAAAGAACATTTTGTCACTTAACCTATATTTTCCACAAATTTCAGTCACTGCTTCACAAAATTGTCTTACAAACTTAGTTTTCAGAAGCTGTGTTCAGGCTGGGTGCCAAAGATGCTTACAAAAGAATACAAAATGAAAAGGCAGGCCAGAGCATTGACCATGCTGACATGATACTGTGAGCAAGGCAATGACTTCTTGAGCCGCACAGGCACAGGGGATGAGACATGGGTGTCGTACATAACCACGAAATCAAAGCAGCAGTCCATGGAATAGAGCCACACATCATCGCCAATAAAGAAAAAATTCAAACAGCCATTTCAACTGGCAAGATCATGTGCACAGTGTTTTGGGACAGAAAAAGCGTTTTGCTTGTGGAATTCTAGCCTCAAGTCTCAAAAATTAATGCAGGTGTCTACTGCGACACACTTAAGAAACTGGGTTGTGTGATCCAGAACAAGAGACATGGCATGCTTAGTTGGGGTGTTGTGATGCTTCATGACAATGCAAGATCTCATCGCGACATTTGATTGGGAACAATTCAATCACCCACCCTACAGCCCAGACTTAGCGCCAAGTTATTTTCAGGCATTCCTGCATCTGAAAACTTTCCTTGGTGACCGGTGGTTCCAGATCGAGGTCAAAGAAGCTGTTAACACATGGCTTGCATTGCAGCAGGCGGCATCATTCAACGATGCGGGGATACAAAAACTGGTACCCCGCTACAAGTGCCTCAACAATGGTGGAAACTATGTAGAAAAGTGGCCTACGGTACATACATCAAATGACAATATAAATGGTTTGGAAATAAATCCTTTTTTTTTTCGATAGCCCATTGGAACTTACTTTCTGGATAACCTACATAAGTTATGTCTTGTGAATGACCCTCTTATCAACTGAACAACTTGAACAACTTCTATATCTTGGTTTAGTCAACACTTCCACGTGTTCACTTAAATTTTTTTGTGTCACTTAAACTCAATAAAAAATTAAAAATTACTCATGAATTTATACTCTGGATATGGCATTAGCACAAACAGGAGAGAAGTCAGGGGTCTGGAGCAAAAACAGCAGAGACAGCCAAGATGTGTACCACAGATTAGTAAGACACCTGCCTTACTAATCTGTGCATGCCATACAAATAATGACCTAGAATTACACAAAGACGGCCACACAGACAAGATCCAAAACATGTGTAGGAATCAAAATTTCATAAGTAATTTGCAGGAAAACCCTTAAATCACAGAAAATAATACATTAGGCATATATGGCTAGGACCAAAAAAAATGTGGAAAAACATAAAATGTGGGGCTCGTAAACTGGGATTTCACTGTAATTAGCACTTCTTGGTGTATGATATTTAACCTTATCACACACACATATCAAATTCACAGGTTATGCTCTCCTCTACTTATGTTAACAGTAGGGACACAAACAACTTCAATATATATATATACAGGGTGTCCCAGGAGGAATGTGCCAAACTTCGGGAGGGTGTTCCTTATGTTAAAGTATGCCGATATAACCCAAAACACCTATGTCCAAAGTTGAACGGTTACGGAGATAATGGCCCGAGAAAAGTGTGGTCTTCTTGCAGGTCCACGCACTATATGTACCTGTCAGCTGAGACCCTTATCTGTTTGTCCTTGAGTGCCGCGAGTCACACTAGCGTAAGCTCATGCGCTGCCTACAGATTACGTTGCAGTGGGGTCGTGAATGGGTGGTAAATTAGTTGTGTGATGAGTTGCTGAAATGCCTTTTGTGTTTTCACACGTCGAGTATTGTGATATGCATTTTGTGTATGGATTTTGCGGTGGCAATGCACGTGCTGCTGTTGAAGAGTACCAAAGGCGTTTTCCCGATCGAAGGATTCCATCTCGAAGTGTATTTACGCGAATTCACCAGACATTGCGTGAGACTGGTTCTCTTCCGAGTGTTTCTGTGCAGTCGGAAAGGGAGGATGTACAAATGAGAAACACACGAGAGAACATTCTTCGCATGATTGATAGAAGTCCGCGTCTCTCCACTCGTAGAATGGCCTCTCGCATCGGCGTATCACGTATGCAGGTGTGGCGAACTTTACATGACGAAGACCTGTATCCTTACCATGATCAAAGGGTACAACATCTGGAACCAGGCGACCATGCTCAGCGTATGGATTTCTGCCACTGGATAAAAGCTCATCCCGAACTGTTAAGCGTCATTTTATTCAGTGATGAGGCGTCGTTTACCCGGGACGGTGTAAATAATTTACGAAATATTCATACGTGGTCCCATAATAATCCACATGAGATAATGGAAACGAAATTCCAAAAGAGATTTTCTGTGAATGTATGGTGTGGTGTGCTTGGGAACAGGTTGATCGGACCTTTTGTGTTTCACAACAATTTAACTGGAAACACGTATGGAGCCTTCCTAAGGAATGAGTTACCATGTTTGTTGGAAGACATCCCGTTAACGATAAGGAGGAAAATGTACTTCCAACATGATGGGGCTCCTCCACATTATACTCAGCACGTGAGACACTACTTAGATGAATCCTTCCCTAACCGCTGGATAGGTCGTGGTGGTCCCATTGCATGGCCACCGAGGTCGCCAGATCTTACGCCTCTAGATTATTACCTCTGGGGCCACATGAAGACCTTAGTCTACGAAACTAAGGTCGATTCCCGAGAAGCACTGCGGAATCGTATTTTTGCAGCGGCAGAGCACATACGTCACCATTCAGGCAACATTGCTTCTGCTACCCAATCCCTCATGATGCGTGCCGAAAACTGCATTGCAGCTGGCGGAGGACACTTTGAACAATTACTATAAAGCAGGTACTGTATTTTAATACTTATGTAGTTGGCTTATAGCAGAATATGCAGTCAGTCATGTTACACCAGCGCTTGCCATTCATGTGTCATGTGTAGTGATGAGGCGTCTTTTACCCTGGACGGTGTAAATAATTTACGAAATGTGCATACGTGGTCCCATAATAATCCACATGAGATAATGGAAACGAAATTCCAAAAGAGATTATCCGTGAATGTAGGTATAATAAGAGTTATGTGGTCGGCTCATAGCGCAGCCATATTACGTCATCGCACGCCAGTCATGTGTTATGTATACTGCTTGGAAACCTAAGGACAATTATGACATGGCGAGCGAGTATTTTGTACTTCAATTTTATGGCTTTCCGTCACTCACAAGTTGGTTTGATGTTACGTACATTATTAACATTACAGAATCCACATATTCCTGCCAGTTTTAATATCTATTTTGTAATCAACAAGTGTGTAACCCCGGTCAAAGTTTGACACTTCTCTGGCCATTATCTCCGTAACCGTTCAACTTTGGACATAGGTGTTTTGGGTTATATCGGCATACTTTAACATAAGGAACACCCTCCCGAAGTTTGGCACATTCCTCCTGGGACACCCTGTATATATTACCTCACAATGAAACAAAATTCCCTCAAATGACTGCACACAATGATAGATACTATTAGTTCACAATGAAGCCAACATAAAGCCTGTGCCTACACACAAACTACTATTGTTACCACTCACGTATATCAGCAAGGATTAGCCAACACTGATGAACTGCTCCTGCCATGTAAGATTTGAGGTTTTCACGGCAGTGATTATGAAGAAAGCAGTTTTCTGGGATGTGGCGCCATGTAGATATTGTGCTGGCTGAAGTTTCGGAGTAACATACTCCTCCATCTTCAGGGTAGAAGAAACTCCGCGAGCAGGTGCTCACTCATGTAGTTTCTTCTTCAGGGTGAACAAGAACCAGGAAAAGTGTCAACCACAGAAGGAACTGGCTGCTGAGAGAATCAGGATGACCCACCATGCAAAAGTGGCATGGCGTAGGAGACACAGGGACAGGTACAATGCTGCAGCAACATCCCAGGAAAGACGTGTGCTCTGGAAGCAACGTCGAGTGCACCCGGGAGACAACAGAAGAATAAGGAGCCAAAACTTCAAGGAACCCATTCCTAGAAGCATGAAGACATTACACGAGGCCCTTGGAAAAGCTCTCGAGTCAGAGGGCATGAAGGGAACCATTTGGATTTCCAGTAGATTAAGAGAGGTGAGACACTCAACACTGTGGTGGTGTCGACCCCCTCCAAAACAGAAAAAAAAATGGAATAGCGCATGATGGAGGAACCGGTAACACAGAAGCACCAGCCTCCCCCAGCTAGAATGAGTGACAAATGAATGTGAAATGACGGAATCAATAACCATTGGACCATGGAGCTGCTCAGGACAAGCACCTTGAAGAAAGGGGACAGAGGTAGCTCCCCAAAGGAAAAGGAACAGGGATATACCATTAGGCTGTTTGGGATGAACAACCTTTAGAAGGGAGCAGTGTGACGTGGATGGCGCAACAGGAAGTAGGGGTCATGTGTGTTTCCGTGAGTGATGTCACATACCCCCACTCCTTCCATCATTATGCAACGCTTGGTAAACAACCCCCCTCCCTCCCGCTAGGCTGTGACATCACGCAACAGGTGAGTCCATGCAGTGACTGTTACTAGACAATCGCTACACACGGCGATTATGCAACAGGGAAGCGAGGTGCGTTTTCTGCTGTCTGGCTGAGGGTTTATAAGAGAAACTGGAATGCCTAAGGAGAGAAGTGGAAGTCTAGCAGTTGCTGAGTGCAGCTGCAGTCTAGCATTCGCGGGAGTTAGTTGAGCATTAGCAGTCAGTTTCCAGCCTTCAGAGAGAGAGTTACTAGTACTGAGTAGAAGTATTCATAATGAGTTGAAGTCCAGCAGCCACGAGTTGTTGTTGAGTTTATCAAGTGAATGGCAGTGACTACAGCAGAAGTAACTGTGATACCGCAGATGGCAGTAATTGTAACACTGTAAACTGTGTAAGTGCAAAAGTGAGTGTGGAATAAATTCACTAGATCCAAAACAGCGTGAAGTTATTTGTTGTGTCAAACACCCAACACATGACAGTATCATATGCCAAGAATTACCTGCTGCTGGCACAGGACCCCGTGGTGGTCTTGCTCCGAGTGCTGCGCCGTAACAGGTGCCCTCTTCCCTCTGCCTGAGTACCGTTGGTTCCTCCTCCGCCACCTGTTCCTGGAACCTCTCTGTTGTGAGTGGCAGTACCACTGTTACTGACAGTTGATTGGGTACCACCTGAAACAGTGAATATTACTACAATTATTGTGTTTCTGGACATTATCCAGAGATATGGACTAGCTCTATCGATTACATCTAACTGAGCAGGTTCCACCTGAAGACGGAGATAGAATCCAGTCTCAGAGATGTTCTGCATTTTAAAAAGAAACAGGACATGGATAATGAGCAGAAACAAGATAACTGTATTAATATACCACCATCACAAACTTTTAGAGTGAATAGGCTCCAGTTTAGAAAACAAAGATTAACGGCCGTGGGGATCAGTTGCTCTGACCACATGACACCCTCTATCCGCTAAAGTTGGCACTACCTTCTCCGACAAGTGGTGGTCACTTGGTTGGTATAGTTTGCTTGAGGACTACAGGCCACATTTTTTTTTTGAGATAAGCATAGGCTTTTGCACAATGTCCATCAACACAAAGATGGAAAAAATCACGGCAAAATGTGAGAGGGCTGACACTTCAAATGAATTCATGACATCCAGTTCAGCTGTGTTAAAAGTGGAAACCATACACATTACAAAATGCTTCTCATGAAGCAGGAAATGAGCTTGTATTTTGTAGCACAGCCTTGTCTGACCACCTCCCAATCATACATTTACGTTTTCTTCCTGCTGCTCATCACTACCATTTTCATTCTCACTATCAATAATCCCATGCATACCTGGTTTCACCAACTAAGTGCTACCATCCAAACTAAACTTACCAATAATTAAATTGTCTAAAACTTCATTAAAAAACTTATACTTGTCCAAGCTCCACGAGTACATGACTTTTTCATAGTCTGGCCCTGATAACTATGGGGTCACAAATTCTTGGCTCAATGAATAAGCTGAACACTTACCCAGATTCCTGGTGGAGTCAGCAACCTTGGCCTTCTTCTTGGGTACCACGGTGATGCCGCCGCGTCTCTGTGTTTGGGTGGTAGTTGCTATGCTCACACTGTTGGTGGTGGCAGCTGTCTCTGAAATGCCAAGTCGTACCTGACTACGAAGCGGATATTTCTTCACTTGGGCTACTGGTACACCTGTTTCTGAAAACAATTCTAAGTATAATTTTCACACCACCTTACACAGTTAACACCACCCCCCACGTCATCTGCCGCCCAAGCATCAGGAATTCTCAAGCAANGGGGGGGGGGGGAAGAAAAAACCCCTGCGCTCAGAAAACAAGGTGACAGTCATTGTATCTTGAGATGCTGACTTCCCGAAACAAACTCATATAATAAATGCCAGTTACTAGTACTATTTCAAAAACTGAAGGAGGGGCAGGGTTTAAAACCAGCTCTATGAAAAACAAACCAGGTTCTTGGTCCAATATTTATTTTCTCCACAATAAGCAGCAATGTGACCATAAATCCACTTCACTGAACTGAGATGGGATTTTTTTTGAACTGCCACCCTGTAATGTCCATCCATTACCACTGCTGAAACAGTATTCAATTAAGGTTGATTGAAAATGTGAAAAATGCAGCCCAGGAATTGTGAACACAATGACCACAAGGTTTCTTCGATGCTGGAATAACACTTCATGAACACCAGAGCAAGCATATTCTGCAGGAGGGAGAGAACCTTCACATCATAATCATCATTATTGTTGTTATTATTATTTTGCTTGTTAAGGGCTTTGTCTTATACATACACAGAAAAAGCAGTGCACTCCTTTGCTTGCACTAACAATTTTGTTCCCATCCAAGGCTAGTCATTTACAGTGATCTGTCTGGAGAATGCTTGGACAGTAACACATCCTGACACATCCCTGAATGTACTTTGACCCCCATACATCACTCCTATGTCACCAGACCATGCATGTTAGCCACATGCATGGTCTTGTGATGCATGGTCCACGATTCTTTGGACATATGTAGATAATTTGTTATTCACTTCTTTACTACGAAATGAGTTACTTGCTGGTGGACTGCAAATATGCCTGGGATGGTAGGGAAGCCTGCAGTAACACTGCTGTGAGTGGAAGTGTTAATGAAGTCCGTGTCACCCACAGTTTCATAGGGAACAACCCTAACAGTGGCACTGAAAGCTCATGTTCTGTTCACACATGCCACCTGCAAGTATACTCAAGCATTGCACAAACTTCATGTGCTGAAGAAATCATGGCAAAAATCCATACAAACAATAAAAACTATGCACTTTCAATTACTACCACACTCCTGAACAAGTCACATGCGACAAACTCCCAATGGTGTACTGGGCCTTTCCCAAAGCACATATTATTAGTATTACAACATTTTTCTTCAAAAATGTGCTTTCTAGAAATACTGCATGGAAACAAATTTTAACAAATGCATTTACCTTTCAAGCAAATACATAGCAAGATATGCTCAAAATGTACTTACACCCACAGATGTGCTTACAAAGATCCAGTTTCCAAAATGTTGTTCTCTAGTTCACACAAATATTAAATTATGCTTGAGACAGACACAGAAATGCATACAGTCCATGTATAAGGTTATTATTTCTTGAAAATTCTAACCTAAATATGAGTACTGCAGTAAATTTTACTACAATTTTCCATTATCAATGTCATGAATTGAATTTCGTGCACGCAGGCAAATGGACAAAGCAGGTTCCACAGGCACTCCATAGGGCTGGAAATATGCCTAAAAATTAAAAACTTTTCTTATGAAAGGCAGGACAAAAAAAAGGTGCATTTACCTGTGATGATCTTGTTGTTTGATACTGAATGTGCTGTCAAATCTCTTTTTCTACCCCTGCCAATGCTCTTGCCTGACTGGCTGCTCCCTGGACGAGTGTAAGATGATGCTGAAGTTGAATAACTCTTGCAACTAACAGTATCCAATGGAGTGTTTTTGTCACTGTTAACTTCCCAAGTTGCACTTGCCCCTACCCCAAGAGAAGCTCCTGTGATGGTTACGTTGTTATTGTTATTGTTCCTGTTGCGCTGTCTCCTGCCAGAGCTTGAAACCCTGACTTCTTGTTGATGTGCTACTGTGTGGTGTTTCTTAGTTGCCCCAGTGTTCGACTTGCTTTCTGAGGTAGTTACTTTGCGATTATTGAATGTTTCACTTGCTTTAGTTTGGCTATTCTGTGACCGGGTTCCTGACTCCTGGCTTGTTGTGGCACTAGAAGTTCTGCTGTAAGGGTAGGTGGATGTAGATGATGGTTTTCTTGTAGTCTTTGCTGTCAACACTGACTGCAAAGCAGGAAGTAAGTCTTCTCCTGTTCCAGAGGCAGATGCCACAGAGCTGGAACGAGAGCTCCTCCGGTTGTTAACAGCCTTCCCTCTCGTTGGTCCAGATGAAATTACACTTGCAGTTTTCGGTTGGACGCCTCGAGATGAACTTCTGGACGAGTTACTACTGTTGGGAAAATTATTTTTCATTGAAATATGGAAACAATCATACACGGATAGTCACACCCTACATGCGGTTTACATGTAGTGCTACATAATTATAAATTCATCCATCACAATGTGAACAGACTTCACAATTATTCTAACACAATCATATATCTCTACAATTTACATTACTTCTATATGTCTGTTAACTTCATACACATGAAATCTACAGGCTGTCCCATAAGCATAGGCCAATATGTTCTCTTTTTTGCAGCTGTAATTGGAATGGGTAAAGACAAAGTCAAATGACCATGATTCCCTGACCTTATGTATTTTAACTTTCACCTGCAGGGCCATGTGGAACCTAAGCTCTGTGCTGTAAGAATGAGCAATGCTAAACATCATCAAAAGCAAACTACCAGTCTATGTCATAAGATCACACCATTCACTTGGACTGATAAAAACATTTGTGCATTTATGCTGACAGACTTTCTGAGCACTCTGTAACAGCTGTGTACAAAGTCTGATACTGTCTATGGCTCAAGATTATGTACTACTCCCTGAAAAAAATAATGTTCACTCCTCAATATTCAAACTAATTAATGGGATATCAAACTGACATGAAGTTAAGGCAGTCTGACCTTTATTCTCCTTTTCTCACATATTTTCAAAGGTAGAATTCTTGTGAATTCTTACAACCTTGTGGCAAAATCCAAGAATTTTGCAATTCTTACACTTTGTATTGGAAGAGGTGGGGGTTAAGATTTTAATTTTGTTACATTTTCTATCTGACATACAGTTTACAATGTAAAACTCTCACGCATGTGCCTTAAGCACCCTGTGCTCAGCAATACCAACTCAACATTTCTTAATTTTCTATGCAACAGGCATGTAAAATAAATACCTTCCTTTCGGAAATTTAAGGGACATCAAATTTAACAGACACATTTTTAAACAACCGGTGGCAGATATGACAGGTACTGCAAAAGGTTTTTGAAAACAGTTATGTCTGTTATTTACTACTGTCTGCTCAAACATTATGTTTAGTATCACAAAGCACAAAAACAGAGGTCCATACAACCATTTTAAAAGACCCATACCTACATTTTCAGACATTTTTTTTTCTTACCATCACTTCCTGAACATTTTCATTCTTCTGAATTTTGTTTTGGTATCAAGCACGACAGAATCAAAGAGAGAGATACTGACATTTGACTCCTTGAGGCAAATTTGCTTTTATTTTATACCTTGGTTGGGATGGTGAGTAGGCTTATGGGCCGGATGACTTATGAATTAGAGTTCAATTCCCAGCAGAAGCAAGAGACATTTCTCTTCTCCATAACATCCTGATCAGCCAGGGGTAAAGGTGCCAGAGCATGACGCTACCACTCACCTTTACCTAATGCAAGGTCAAGACTGGTGGAGGTATATCTCCACTCCTCCACATGTCTTCATGGTATAGTGCTTAATTAATTATGTGTAGGGACAACTTTTTTTTATCAGCTCAACAGCCCACTTGGGCCCTGGCCTCTGATTTTCAGTTTCATGATCATTTTGCAAACAGTACAACTCCTTGGGCAAGTGATCAGCTCACTGGAAGGCCTCTACCTAAACACAGGACAACACAAATACAGAATAAACACATACCAAATATCTATGCCTTGTGTGGGATTCGAACCCATGATCCCGCCTTCTGAGTGAGCAAAGACAGTAAAAGTGTTAGACCGCTTGGCTACCATGATTGGCAGGGACACCTTTACCTTACCAAAACTTAGAAGAATCCTTGCAGTAACAAGAATTCACCACTCATACAATGTGTGACAACGCCATCAAATACCCTCTTCAAAGAAGAGTGCCACAGTGCTTCAGCAAGTGGCAGGGAAAACGAAATTACTTTATACACTCATAAAGAGACAGACTACTCTGAAGAGATGGGCCCCTCCTACCAATACATTTGATTTCCAGACTTCTTCAACCCCTGTTTTATCCTCCTGTGTCTTACCCACCACCAGTGTGATGATGTAACCTGGGCCGATTTGTGTCTTCCCTCACTCCTGGGACCCCCAAAATTATTATAGCATAGGAGTGCTTAGCTAATGTCTTGCTCTCTTGCCCTTTTAATGGCATGCTGGAAACATAATAATTCAGTTGTGTTGTTTCATTATTTTTCTAAATTCTGTTCTGATCATTTGTGTCCCACCCACGTCAAGGGAGCATGGGTCTCTGTTGTGCCGCTATCAGATATACATAAGTATATACATTAATTTTGTATACTGTGTGGCAAAGGAATGATTTTTGTGACCTCAAACATTTCTAGGTATAAGGTGAAAGTGACCCTATCTGACTTGACAAAGCTAACTTGAGTTGGTTGCCCTAGGAGAATTTGTTATAAATCAAGTTGATATTGTGTATGCATTTTGCTTAAGCGCTAGTTTTTCTGCATTTGCCACATAACTTACTCTGCTGTGGGCATGGGATCATAACAAAGAGTAGCAGCTGGAGAGTGGGGTATGTTTCAAAGGATATGTGAACTAGCTATTTTGCCTTCTAGTTTCATCCTAGGTCAGTCTCAGACTTTCTGAGCAGATCCTGTACTTAATAATAATAATTATATATATAATAATTAAATACAACACAATGAAGGCATATAGGGGCGTGACCTTGGCACTAGCTGGAGGTGAGTGGTCAGCTTTATGCCCCAGCCCCTTTACCCCTGGGGGAAAAAGCCCACCCCCTCATACTGAGCAGATCCCCCCCACCCACACAAAAAAAGACTTATAATTTTTACCTGCTGATTCCGCCTCCTCTGCTCCCTCGCCCACCTCTAGCCGCAGTTGTTGCTGCTCTGTGGTCAATCTTGCTGAAGCCCCTGGGCTGTTCAGCAGAGCTGCTTTGATCTGGGTTCCTTCCTGCTGCAGCAGCACGAGATCGCGTTGACACTGCAATGCTCTCAGACTGCACTGAGCTGATGCCCAGAGAATGTCCACCAAGTCTTCCACGCACTGTTCCTAGTGGATGAACAGGTGGTACGGTGATATCAAAATTGCAGTTGTTCTTTTGAGCTTTGTTGCCGTGTCCTCTTCCTCTTGAACCTCTGCCTTTTGTACCACTAATTGCTCTACAGTAATTGCTGTTGTGTACTGCGCCCAGCACAGATGACTTCTTATCTGGGCCACCTGACAGACCAACTGCTGGACTACTGATTCTGTTCAGTGTGCTACAATTGACAGACTCTGTGGCAACAGAATCCTTGTGGAACCTTTGAGTTGTGTGTAGATATGACAGTGATGCACTGCTTTCTTCAAGAATATCTGCTTTTGTGAGAGCACCTGTCAGACTGTCTTTCCGGGTTCGTTTCCTGCTAGGTGTTTGATGGCTGGATGGATTTCCACGCTTCCTTGATCCACTCAGTCCAGTTTTGAATCTAAACCAACAGAAGCATCATTAGACTACATTTAGATAAAGGAAAAGAGTTCACATTAATCTAACACAGCATAAAAGAAGGTGCAAAATTTTCACTTCTTCCACACCTTCTATGGAAGTTCAAGCTTGCGGTGCACCAACTGATGTGACATGTATTCTAAAAAGGATTTCAGAAACCAGGATTTGCTCTCAACTATATGAATGACATACATTCTTTAAAATCTGCATGCGCTGTGTATCCTTGTTACTGTAACAACAAGAAGCAGAACAGCACAACTGATACAGGACAAACCTAGATTTTTGATCCTGATTTTTCATAGTGCTTCAGGATAAAAAATATCTGCATAAAATTATCCAATGGCCACAGAGCTTCCACTGTCATTGTGTTCTCTATAAACTACCTGCTTCCAGCCATGTCTATCTATTTTCATTGTGACGGGAACAATGTCAAATTCCTACGCAAAGCAACCAAACTTTTTCTGCATGAACTATAAACACAACAGGCAGTGACGTTTCACAGAATACAAAGAAATATGGCATCAAGTTTGGCAGCAACAGAATTCTTTACAATGTGCAACAAGGCACTGCTGTTATCCAAGCACCGAATGATTTTTCAGTTCCAACAATGCATAAGAGGGTTTATATACATATATATATTGAAGAGATGAATTTGAAGATGATACTACAAAGGATGTGATCTTCTGCTGTAAAATTAATAAATGAACTGGAAATTAGTATCAGAGGAAAATCTTGAAAGCTGCACAAAATGTTTCAAGTGCAATCATTTCCATCAGAGTGCTTCTAACATAGCAGAACTAGTTAATCACATTTTATTTCAGATTTATCATTAAGGAGACACATAATGAAACAGTTAAGATGGTGGATACTACATGTTTATATGGGCTGTTAACATCATCTTCATCCAAAGGGCTCTGTAATACACAACCTCATGGCATGTGGTTGTCCTAGTGAGGCAAATGGTTACTCGATTAATAATGAATTCTACAGTGGTACGTAACCAGAAGACAATCACAGTGGCTACACATTCTAAGGCATGAAATGTCTTCGCCTGCTTGAACACTGGGATTGTGGGTTTGAACATCACTGAAGGCATGGATGTCTGTCTGTGTTTATTCTGTCTTTGTGTTAGGTAGTGGCCTTGCAATGGGCTGATCCTGTGTTCAAGGAGTCCTACTAATTGTCTAAGATTAAGAAGCTGAAACAAAACAAGGCATTCCATGAATGTCCTTTGCTCCAAGTGGGAGGAGGAGAAGACTTCACCTTCATTAATACCATCTGCATTTATATATGACACGCAAGATCAATGAAGTTTGCATCTTCACTACTTACTTTGCTAGGATCCACTTTAATGATGGACACAGCATCCAAGCATGGCAACTCCCAACACAACTTCTAGCTCTCAGAATTAATGTTTTGTTTTTACTTTCCCCATCAGCTGGTATTCTAAAAACTAGAAAACACAACGTTTTGGAACTGGACCTGCTTCCATCCTCAGGTGAGGGTGGAGACACCTACTCTGTTGGGTCCCTTAGAAAGAGTGAACCTCAATCACTGACAACCTATGTCACTCTATTTAAATGCCTGAGACGAGGCTATGTCAAAGTACGATAACAGGAAAATCTGCAATAAAAACTGGGATAAGGCGCACACAGTCATGGAACTAATTACTTTTTATCTTAGTTCCATGACTATGCATGCTTTATCACAATTTTTAATGCGGATTATCTCCATTCCCTCCTCATCTGAGGAGGGAAACAGATCAAATTTCCAAAACACAAAGTTTTCTAGTTTTTACAATACTGGACGATGGACAATGTACAAAAAACCAGTAATTCTCAATGTTATACACAACTGTCAGAACCCTTTAGAACCAAATTCTTATTCATTTTTCATTTCCACATGTATGAGTCCTAAACTACCCACCTCATCTTTCTGAACTAACCAACCCCTTAAGCCCTGAGTACAGATACTAGCAATGTACATTTTACATGAACATGTAAGCACTGCCTGCCCTTTAATTTCTAATATTGTTCTGGCAATTCCACGGAGTATGCCGTCAGCAACAGCAACACAGAGGGTCTCTTCTGTAGGATGTCCAGCTTTATTTGAATGTATTTACAAAGACAGTGGAAGTCAAGGTCACTGTCCACAGCCAAACCATTCCTAATCTTCTTTCGAAATTTCGCATTCAATCAAAGCACTGCTGCTTTGTAAGCAGGTCACAAATCCAAATCTCTGCCATAAGACCAGCTGTACTGACTGAGTTTCTTCTCAAATCTTCCAGGTAAATGCCTGGAGATGACCATAAAATGCACGACAAACACTACCTTCAACATCCTTTCCTCTTCATTATTTGCTGTCACCTTACTGCTCAACACTATACAGTCTTTTCAACTGAAAGCAATGTTAAACAAACAAAAAGGAAGTTCCAGCCAGAGTGTGTTCACAGTGCCAATCACAGTTGCAGAGGTGTTTTGCATCAGCTCCTGAATTGTGTATGGATTCTGTGAAAACTATCTGTAAAAAGAACCTCCAACAGAAATCCACGTGGTTCAATATGTGAAGAGCAGGATGGCTGAGGACCAGCCAAACACAAGACATGCAGGAAAATTGATTAGTCAGAATTTGGTCCTGAAGAGTTCATGGAAATATCCATTTGCTGTATGAAGTCAAACCCAACCTTCCTGGAAAAATGTTTTCTCAAAACTGAGAACCATGTAAGAGAAACTGTTCTCTGAGGAAATGGACGAACAGTATGCACAGATTCTCTGAGAAAAATCTGTCCAACAATATAAGCCTTAACAGCAAGCGACTCGACACAACTCTGAGGATGTAATGATGTTGCCATCATTTCATGCAGGGCTTCTGCAACCCATACATACAAATACTGTGACACAAAGGTATAGTTTAACGAGATATCATCCACTGCTAGGCAATGTCACAGCAAACATGCTCCTAGCTGTCAAATAAGCAAGCCATTGCTAGGGAACGAATAAACACACAACAATAGAGGAGCTGTTGCAGGCAGTGTTTTCTATGCAGTCTGATCCTAGGCTACACTAAGAGGACAAAACAGGCCACAGTTCAGGTCCCGGGAAAAATAGATATTCCCCGTAACCATGAAGACCTATGCCATATGTGCGATGCAAACACCTGACAAAGGCAAAGCCTACCAGTAAGAGACAAACCCATCCTCCCATCAGAGATGTTATATAAGGGCTATAACTGCAAGGGTTCAGTTGAAAAAAACAAATCTCTGGTCGTGATCCTCAAAGGGCTTGGAACCAAGATGAACTGAATGGTGGTAAACTGCCAGCCACGAAGTAACTCTGACTCTGACACAATTGAAAGACATCTGTGAGGTGGTAGAGACCTGGCAATGATGCGTGCAGAAGATATTGTTTGGAGCTGCTACCTAGCAATGCCTAGTGAACACATATAGGTCCTCATGTATGTGCTGCAGTACAGTGATTTATAGTGTGCATATCCATGAAAATGTTACAGTTATCAGTAGTAGTACATGGAGAATGAGAAGTCGTGCACATCACACTAAGTACTTTTATTTTGCTGGTTTAATGCACAAACTACAAGACATACAGCACTTACTATTAATGTTCATAACAATGGAAAATCAAATCATGTCTTTACAACATATGTTCGAAATGGCTTCCCTGTTCAGCAATGCATGCGTGAGCTCCTTTTACCACGTTTGAGACCACTTTGTGGAGCACCTGTAAACTGATGCTGTTAATCGCCATCTTAATGTTCCTTTCAAGGTCATTCGGTGTGTGCGGGTTGTTTCTATAGACAATTCCTTTGAGGTAACCCCAAAGGAAAAAATCTGTGGGTGACAAATTGCGTGAACCCGGGGGCCACAATCCTTTTGGAATGAGACGGTCACCGAGAAACTTGCACAAGAACTGCATGGTTTCATTAGATGTGTGACATGTGGCACCGTCTTGCTGCAACCAACACTCACGTTCATCAACTTCAAGAAGGGCAATAAACTTTGTAATGATGTCTTGGTATGCTGGACTGTTCACTGTTGTTTCAAAGAAAATTGGGCCCACTATTCAATGATGTGATACGGCACACCACACTCCAATTTTCTGACAGTGCAAGGGCTTTTCATGTAACACATGTGGATTTTCAGAAGACCAAATCGTATTGTTTTGACTGTTCATGTAGCCACTAGGGTGAAACCACGCTTCATCAGTGAAGAATGACTGGCGAAATAATGGTCCACAATGAAAACTCGTTCTTCGGAAAAAAACATGTCTGTCACGCAATAAGCAAAGCTATACTGCAGATGTCGTATGACCGATACACAATAAACAACGTTTCTACTTGTTGTTAGTACTCCTACAGTACCATCTAGTGGTAGGAGATATAATTATATTAACTGCAATACAATTTATAACAACTTTTAGTCTGATGTGGGCGACTTTTCGATCTCCCTGTAGTTAAGTGTTATAAGGGTTTAATAAATCAAAACTTCAGCCATACAAAGTCTAGGTTATTATGAACTGAAAAAGCACACGCCATGGTTTGATGAAGGATGCACAGAGTTATTAAATCAAAGGAAACAAGCTGAACGGCAGTAGTTACAGGATACAAGTGAAACAAATGGGGATAATCTGAACAATATAAGGCGAGAAGCCAGCAGGCATTTCAGGAATAAAAAGAGGGGATATCTGAAAGACAAAATTATTGAGCTTGCAACAAACAGTATGAACAAGAACATTAGAGACCTGTAGAGAGGAATAAATTTAAGAAGGGTTACCAACCTGGAAGTAACTTAGTGAAGATGAGAATGGTGATCTGCTTGCAGATTTCCAAAACATTTGGAACAGGTGAAACAACTACTTCTCCAAGATACTGAATGTACATAGGGTCAGTGATGTTAGGCAGACAGAAATACATAGAGCTGAGCCATTAGTACCTTATTCTAGGTCCTTTTGAGGATGAACTTGATACTGT